TTTTTTTTATAAAAGTTATTGCAAAATAATTTTTTAGCAACTTCTTAAACAAAATTTTATTTCTCCTAAATAAATGAATTAATTTAAATGAACCAAGCGGGAATATCAAGGGGATAAGATATACTTTCGTTTAGAATTAGAAAATTTTTAAAAAGTTTATTTTTTAATAATTATTTAATAAATTTTTTATAAACAATTAATTTTTTTTAATGTTCTACGCCTTTTAAAAATTTGAAAAAAATATTAACATACACTTAAAACTATAAGAAATCAAAATCCGTTGAGAAAATTTTGAAGCGACAATTATTTTAAAAGTTATAAACAAATTATATTGAACGGAGATGCGATTTTGATGATTTTCAGAATTAAAACATTATTTTTAACTACAAAATGAACAAAACACTGTCAAATTAACATTTTTATTTAATTATATAACCATAAAAATTGATAAAAATGATCAAAAACTAAGTTCAGCGTTAATGCACAACACCGCGCTAATATAATTTGTTTATAACTTTTAAAATAATTGTCGCTCCAAAATTTTCTCAACGGATTTTGATTTCTTATAGTTTTAAGTGTATGTTAATATTTTTTTCAAATTTTTAAAAGGCGTAGAACATTAAAAAAAATTAATTGTTTATAAAAAATTTATTAAATAATTATTAAAAAATAAACTTTTTAAAAATTTTCTAATTCTAAACGAAAGTATATTTTATCCCCTTGATATTCCCGCTTGGTTCATTTAAATTAATTCATTCATTTAGGAGAAATAAAATTTTGTTTAAGAAGTTGCTAAAAAATTATTTTGCAATAACTTTTATAAAAAATAATTTTTTTTTCTGTTTTTTGGTGGACACATTCTTAAGGCCAAATAGAAATGTTTTTTCAACATTTCGATTTAAAAAAAATACTTTTTGTTTTCTGTGAAAATTTCACGAATTCTGACCCAATGGCAAATTTGACTTCCAGATTGACTTTCCAAAATGCACTTTTGAAATATACGTAGAGTAAGGACAACTACTGAAACTGGGTTTAGAGCACTGTGTCGTGAAGAACCACTTGTTATAGATAAAATTTTAAGACTGACTTGTGCAGAGCACCACTTCTCAATTTGAGACTTATAATATTGACGACTACATTTTCTTGACTGTTTTTCTAGACTGCTTTCTCAGACTGACTTCTTAGACTGATTTCTTAGACTGAGCTGCTGTTGATGGTCTGGCTCTTCTTATACCCAAATTTCCCTGTGTATTTGAAGAAACTGTACGTTTTGCCATGTATTTGAAGAATCGTTCGCTTTGCCATGCATTTGGAGAATTGTTCGCTTTGCCACGCATTTAGAGAATCGTTCGCTTTTCCATGCATTTGGAGAAACCCTTTGTTGCAGGAACACTTGTGGTGACTCACCATTAGATCACACGTGTCCATTGCTTATTACTCATATGTTATTTTATAATTTTGTTATTTCCATTAATTGTTTATAATTTGTTGTTACAATTGATTGTTTATTACAATTCATTATTTATAATTTGTTGTATTATTTGTTGATTATAATTGTTTACAATTAAAGTCGGTATTAATTCCTAGTTATTATAATTCTATTATTACTGTTAATATTTATGATTACAATGTTTATGTTTATTATTGTTTATTATTATTTGTTAAAAGTTGTTGTTTAAAATTAATATAACTATCTGTTTATTATAATTTGTTATTATTTCTAATGTTTATTCTTACAATATATTGTGGTTTCTTATTGTTATTTGTTATAATTTATTGTTGTTTATTATTTGTTATATTTGTTTATTATTATAATATGTGAAATAATTATGATTACTATTATTACTATTATTATTAATTATTATGATTGTTATTATTAATTATTGTAATTATTATTATTAATTATTATGATTATTATTATTAATTATTATTTTACATATTATTATTAACATTATTGAAAATAGGTTACGGTGACGTAACAATTTATACTTTCCATCAGTCTGCCTCATGATGCGATTCGATAAACAACCTCAAAAACTTCCAGTTGTAAATCTGGATACTATTGTTGAACAACAAGAGAAAAAAATAAAACGTCATGGTAGTTTACTATCGGGTAGTATTCGCGGTACATTCTGTGGACCATCTAATTGTGGAAAAACAAATGTACTTTTATTTCTAATATTAGATCCTAATGGTTTAAGATTTGACAATATTTGTCTTTACTCAAAATCACTGCAACAACCAAAATATAAATTTTTGGAGCAAGTTTTGAGTAAAGTTGATGGGGTTAAATATTTACCATTTAGTGAACATGAAGAGGTAATTTCTCCTCAAAATGCAAAACCAAATTCTATATTTATATTTGATAATGTTGCGTGTGAAAAACAAGATAATATAAGGGCTTTCTTTTGCATGGGTAGACATGTAAGTGTTGATAGTTTCTATCTATGCCAGACTTATGCAAGAATTCCAAAACATTTGGTGCGAGATAATGTTAACTTGCTAGTTCTTTTTCGTCAAGATGAAAAGAATTTAAAGCATGTGTATGATGATCATGTAAATACGGATATGACATTTTCTTAATTTCAAGAATTGTGTTCAGCTTGTTGGAATTTAGACAAATACGGCTTTGTTGTAATTGATAAGGATAGAAATATGAATGAAGGAAGATATAGGAAAGGTTTTAATTGTTTTGATTCACTATAAATAAGAACAATTATTAAATTTATTTTAGTGCAAGTTGAGACCTTGTTACATCAAGATGTATCGTAAAGAGAAAGAATATTTATGTCAAATGGCTAAAGCAAGTGAGGCAATTAGACGTAAGCATCGCATGTTTAAATTAGGAAAAGAAGATGCTGAAAATATCTTGACTACAACATTCAAACCTATAGTTGAACCTTTACAAAAAATTATTTCTATAAATAATATTAAACTTGAAAATGCCGACATTAAAAAGAGAGAAAAGAAAGTTGAAGTTAAAGAGGAATATAATGGTAAAAATGATGATGATGATGTTGAAGATGATTTTATGGGTTCTATAAATGCTAATGAGATTGATAAAACAATAATTCCAGACTTTGACTATCATAAAGTACTAGGAAAATATATTTACTTGATAAATCACAATAGAAAGCAATGTTTGGATCAAATTTATGGAGTATACAAAAATAAAAATGGATTGCTTATGATGGGTGATACACCAATATATTTTAAATATAATGTTGTAAATGTTGGAAACAAACGTTTTAATATTATCACTGGATTGTTGGAACTGTTATTTAAAAATAGAACAAAAGACGCATACATTAGTGAAGATGGCATGAATAATTATAAACAAATTCTTATTATGTTAAATGCACACAAAAGAAAATATAAATCTTCTGAACCCATCAATACAAGTAAAAGTTTAAAGTACAGTAATATTATATCCAAACTTTTTCCTAATAATGGAACTTCTAAAGAGCAATTAAAAACTGGTACATCTCTTCCAAAGTTTATGATTACAAAGCAAAATTTTCAACCAGACTACATTTATTGGGATGATCCAAATAAGTTAGTTGAACGTTTAAAATTGCTTACTGCATCCCAAGAAGCTGGTTATCCAAGTCACAATAATAAAATTATGTCCATTATTAAGGAGTAACGGGAAGCTAAAATTATATATTAGTAAGTGTTTTCTCGAGTTGAGATCAGTTTCAAAATGAGCATCGATGTATTCGGACATCCTCTTAATCGAGGAGGAACAACTGTAGCAAAAAGAGGACCACCTGGACCACCTGGAGTTGGCTTTAAGATTATTTCACAAGGCGACGACGAAGTTGAAGGAAGAAGAATTTGCAGCGTTGCAAATGCTGAAGAGAAGGGAGACGTAGTTAATTTATTTCTTGCTCGGAGTATGATAGAAAACGAAGTAAGACCAGTGCATGATATCACATCTTCATTACGATCAGATATTGATAAGAGTAACGTTTTGTTAAAAATTATTGAATCATCTACAATAGAAAATTTACAAAATATTCAAAAACAAATAAATCAAGATTTATCCTATCGAAACGCTGAAATTATTGGTGAATTAGATACTCGTTTAAAAGCTCTCGAAAGTGACATCAGAAACCTTGAAAAGAAATTAAATAAAAATATTTTAATTGTTGACGACAGTCAATTGTTGATAAAGACGTTTGGGGACTCTGTAGCAGAGAAATTAAAAAATATTGAAAGACAAATAAATCCAGATTTGTCATATCGAAACGCTGAAATAATTAGTAAATTGGATGCTGGTTTAAGAACTTTGGAAAATGAATGATAAAAAATTAACAGTAGTGCATGAGCTTCATACACAAGCTCGAAAAAATTATCCTCGACGTCGAGTAGAAATGCGTGGTATTGATGATACTTGGCAAGCTGATTTAGTAGAAATGATACCCTACTCTAAAGTAAATAAAGGATTTAAGTACTTACTTACAGTTATAGATATTTTCTTAAAGTATGCTTGAGCTGGTCCAGTAAAGAGTAAAAGTGGAAAAGATGTTGTTGAAGCAATTAAATCTATATTTGCAAAGAAACGTATTCCAAAAAACCTGCATTCAGATAAGGGAAAAGAATTCTACAATTCCCAATTTGAAACATTAATGAAAATGCATAAAATTAATTTACGCTCCTGGCTGTCTGAGAGTTACCTCGTGCTTTGTTAATCGCCGAGTATTTAATTAATTTTTACATTATTATGAATTAAGCTATTATTGAATTCTTGCTGAAGTGGTGTTTTTAGTGACGCGGACTTAATTTCGGTTTATTATTTTGGTTAATAAACTGTAAATTTTGCTCTATTGGCAATTGAACTATTCTAACCTAAAAATTACACTTAATCGTTACAATGTGTGACGATAAGCGAATTTGTCTTGGATGCAAAGGTCCGATTGCGAATGAGTATGCACAATGTCCTCGATGTAAACGACATTATCACCCAGGATGTGTTCGCACTATTAAAACTCTAGAAGATGGTGCATACACGAGATGTTGTAATTCCCGTTCTCGCTCTCCTGTTGATCCGGCCGGTTCTACATCAGCTCTATCTATCTGAAGTCATGACGAGACTGTCTAACACCGAATCCCAAGTGCTTAAGATCTCTACTAGACTCACAGCTGTGGAAGGTACAGTAATCGATTTACAAAAAAATACTAATTGTCAGATTCAAGATAAACAAAATATTGTCCGTCAGTGTTTTGTCGAAGTAGAGGATAGAATTGAACGTCAGAAAAATATAATGTTGTTTGGATTTCTAGAGATTAGGGCATCGGACACTAACACTTGTAAAAATGATGTGAAGCATGAACTAACAGATTTTCTGTGTAAATTTGTGTCCCCTGATTACTTAACAAACATAATATTCAGACGAGTTGGATCATTTGCACAGGGTCAAACAAAGCCACGTCCTGTCAAAATTATGTGCGAGTCGAAGGAGACTGCAGCGAATATCCTGAAATCTCTCGTCACAGCAAAGAAAACATCCACCTCTTCTCCTGCACTGGACAATCTGTGGCTTGCGATGGACAAAACAAAAGATCAACTGGAAGATTTGGCGAGAGTGAAAGATCAGTTAAAGGTTCGTCGTGCGAATGGCGAACTGAACCTGAAAATTATACATCGTCGCGGAATACCGGTAATTGTGACAACTCTACACACAAAGACTATACAAATGACAAACGAACAGAATCAGACAACGTCGGCGCAATCGCAGCGTCTGAATGTGTAGGTGCGTCGTACAGTTTCCCTCACTCCTTAAGTGATTCTTGTGTTAGCGGTCCAGTGTCGGTGAGACCAGTGTCTATATATTATCAAAATGTCAGGGGCGTAAGAACCAAATTGCATTTGCTGCGGCAATCTATTCCTCTTAAAGATTATGTTATTTTCATATTATCTGAAACTTGGTTGACTCCAGCAATTAATTCATCTGAACTCGGTTTTACACGCTATGACATTTTTAGAAGTGACAGATGTGTCACAACAAGTGATAAGAAACTTGGAGGGGGTGTGCTATTAGCTTCTAAGCGATCATTGTCGTGCACACTAATTTGCCATAAAGACAAAACTTTAGAGTATACTATTGTTAAATTTAAATTCAATGGCTCTCTACATATTTTTGGAGCATTTTACATTCCCCCAAATGCAAATATTGAAAAATATAATGCAATGTGCAATATATTGGAGGACATTTCATTTTTATTTCCACATGCTGTTATATCCATTCTTGGGGATTTTAATATGCCTTATGCTATATGGGACACTAATCATAATGATGACCCTTCTTGTTTTGCTAAACCGGGATTATTAAAATTGCACTGTGATGTTGCCGAAAATGTTCCTAATACAATTGACTTTTTAGCTTTAAAACAAATAAATTACATAGTGAACTCACAAAATAACTTATTAGATTTAATTTTTACTAACTCTATTGAATTTACACTTAGTAAAGTTACTGATCCGCTTTTGCCCCTTGATAATTTTCATCCAGTCTTTGTTTCTTCTTTATATACTTCTCCTGGTGAGAATACTACTAGGAATAACAATAATGTTAATCGACAACATTGTAAGACTTATAAGTACGATTTTGATAATGCGAAAACGGCTGGTATTAATTCTTTTCTTATGAACATTATTTGGCAAGAAGCATTTAATGATTGTAACATTGATGATGCGATCTTTATTTTTTACAATTACGTTTACGCAGCTTTTGATTTCTTTGTTCCTATAAAATATATTTTTGAATCAAACTTTCCCATTTGGTTTTCTACTGAACTTAAAAATTTAATTCGGCTTAAAAAAACTGCACATGTAACTTACAAAAAATCTAAACTAAATTCCGATTACAAAATTTTTTCTAATTTGCGCGCGAAATGTAATACGTTATCGAAATTATGCTATAACGAATATATGCTAAAAACTGAAAATTCTATTATGGCTGATGCTAAAAATTTCTAGTCTTATATCAATTCTTCAAGAAAGTCTAGTCGAATACCAAATAGTATGTATTTGGATGATGTTACGGAATCTACAAGTAAGGGCATAGCGGTCTTATTTGCAAAACATTTCCGATATCGTCGACCTGAGTAATCTTTTTATAAGTAAGGTTGATATCATGAAAAAATTGAGAACTTTGGATGTTTCAAAAGGTGCCGGTCCTGATTATATCACACCGGCACTCTTGAAGGGATGCTGCTCTTCGTTTCTTTAGCCTTTATTTATTCTGTTTAATAAATCACTTACTACTGGCGAATTTCCATTCGAATGGAAGAAAGGCATTATCGTCCCTATTTATAAAAGCGACTGTAAGAATAATGTAAAAAATTATAGACCAATTACCTTATTAAGTTCAATACCAAAAATATTCGAAAGTATAGTACATGATATTACATATAGTCAAATAAAAAATCACATTATTGAGGAGCAGCATGGCTTCATGAGGGGAAGGTCTGCTAATACGAATCTTTGTATATTTGCAGATAGCATTCTTAACTATCTTGAGGGTAAAACTCAGGTTGATGTTGTTCACGCTGACTTTTCCAAAGCATTCGATAGAGTTGATCACGGTATTCTCCTTGACAAGTTGAGTGCAATGGGGTTTTCGAATCAGTTTCTTTCGTGGATGGGGAGTTACCTCGCTGATAGATACCAATCTGTCAGGGTCAATTGTGACTATTCTAACACGTTTTTAGCAATATCTAGTGTTCCTCAGGGCTCGAATCTTGGACCTCTTTTGTTTCTTTTATTTATGAATGACATTAATACAGAGTTTAAATTTTCTTGCTTTCTTTTGTTTGCCGATGATCTCAAAATGTATCAATTACCTCACATGATGATTTTCTTTGTCTCCAATCTGACTTGAATACATGTTTGGTGCACTAAAAACAATTTTTCATTAAACTTAAATAAATGTTATGTTATTTCTTTCAGTAAACGTACTATCATCTTGAGACATTGTTACGCGATTGATGGTAATGAAATTGCCAGAGTGTCTGAGATTCGAGACCTGGGAATTCTATTATGCGAGTCTTTCTCTTTTTCACGACATGTGACTGAGACAGTAAACAAAGCATTGCGTATACTTGGTTTTATAACAAGAAACGCGTCTTGTTTTCATAATATAACAGCCCTGAAAACATTATATTTTTGCTTGGTGAGATCTAATATTGAATTCTTATCAATTGTTTGGTCACCGTATAACCAGGTGTATTTGATCAAGCTCGAGAGAATTCAAAATAGATTTTTAAGATTCGCAGCAAGGCAGATGGGTGTTAGATATGATCCTTATTCACATGACTATGATAACCTTCGATCTTGCTTCAAAATTCCTTTAATATCATCCAGATTTCTATATAATGACTTGCTTTTCTTATTTAAAATTATACATAATATAATCAATTGCTCCCAGATCTTAGCATCAGTCAACTTTTCTGCTCCTATAAGACCATCACTGCATGTTCGGCCGTTCGCTTATTCGAGAACATGTTATCGAGATAACTCAACTATGATAAGAATATGTAAATTAGCCAACTACCATGCGGATCAGCTGGATTTCTTTAATAATTCTTTGTCTAGTTTCGTTAGCGATCTACGTAAATTGTTCTTTAATTATAATAATAACGCAGCCTAATGTTTACATTTTTATAACTGTTAATTATTTTCAGTACTTTATGTACGAATGGGACTCATTGCCCGTAAATGAATAAATAAATAAATAAACATACAATAATCTAAAAGCGTCCATTGTTGAACGATTTAATGAAACACTCAAGAGAAAAATGTGGATGCAGTTTAGTTTACGAGGCAATTACAAGTGGTGTGATATATTATCAAATGTGATTGCTAATTATAATGATTCCAAACATCGAACAATTGGAATAAAACCGAAAGATGTAACTTCAGAAGATGTTCATACTTTAAAAGGAAGATTTTTAAAATTAAGGAAAATACCGCAGCGAAAACCAAAGTTTAAAATTGGTGATAACGTACGAGTCAGCAAATTCAAAAACGTTTTTGAAAAAGGCTATACTCCAAATTGGACAACTAAAATATTTACCATTGACAAAATTGCATCAACTACACCTGTGACTTACAAACTCCAGGATTAACAAGACCAACCAATCAGTGGCGGATTCTATAAAGAGAAACTTCTTAAAGTAAAATATGCGGATATATATCTTGTAGAAAAAGTTTTAAAGACTCGTGGAAATATAATATTTGTAAAATGGTTAGGCTTTGATAATTCTCATAATAGTTGGATAGATAAAGCAAATCAACAATAAATCATTAAGGGGTTACATGGGTCAAAACGACCTGAAAACGTATGTTTTTTTAATAATTTTTTTTTCATAAAATAAATAAATTTTTTTATTTGAACACTTTGGTATCTGAAAGTACACTATTAAATGAGAAAGATATTAAATTTTTGATAAAAAATATTAAAAATCAGGTCCGTAGCAACAGTTCTTCGGGCCCCTTTCAAAAAAAATTGCTTTTGCGGTGGTCAAGATATCTTTTGACTGCTTCATCTAAAATCAAAATACAAAAAATTTTCTGTTTGTGGGTGAATATATCTCGTGATTGAACGAAGGGTTTTCAAAGAAATTGAAATTTGGATGTTTGACAGTGTCTTTTATCAAAAGTTAAAATTTTTAGAACCATTAAGACCATGTAAAATCGGTTCTAATCAACAAAAAAAATATTCCTTCGTTCAATCACGAGCTATACAGAAAATATTTGGTTTTTTGATTTTTAATGAACCGGTCAGAAGATATCGTGACCATCGCTTCTTTGAAAGGGTTTTCAAAGAACCTGTAGGTACGGCCCTGATTTTAAATATTTTTTAACGAAATTTTTACAAGTTACTCTTTTAATAGTGTACTTTAAGATATAAAAACACTAAAATAAAAAATTTATTTATTTTATGAAAAAAAAATTAAACAATCATACATTGTCTGGACGTTTTGACCCATGTAACCCCTTAATGAATCATTAATGAATCAACAATGAATCAACAATGAATCATTAATGAATCAATAATGAATCATTAATGAATCAATAATGAATCAATTATAAATCAATAATAAATCATTAATGAATCAATAATGAATCATTAATGAATTAATAATGAATCAATAATAAATCAATAGTGAATCATTAATAAATTAACAATGAATCAATAATGAATCATTAATGAATCAATAATGAATCAATAATAAATCATTAATGAATAAAAAATGAATCAATAATGAATCAAAAATGAATCATTAATGAATCAACAATGAATTAATAATGAATCAATAATGAATCATTAATGAATTAATTATACATTAATGTTAAATTAATAAAATAAATGTAAAACTTTAATCAAATTCTATATTTTTCTTCACAACTGCCGCTTTAATTCCCTTTGCTTTTTTCGTAAAATCTTGGCCATTCACACGAATACTATACATTTTACTCCGCAAGCCAACAAATTCAGTAATAATTTTTCCACTGCACTCATCTTTCATGAGTCCAAGAATTTTATTGTTGGCTTGCGGAATATTATCCTTTGGAAGCTTTAATTTTTTGTTTCTTTTCTTGATCTTGGCAAGCACATTGAAGTGTTAAATAATTGCCTTGATCAAAGCTGGAGTTTTAAACCAAAAAAAGAAAAAGACGCTTTTTTTTCGAAATTGTAAAATGGGGCTATTAGGAACAAGGCGGTAAAAACCATTTGAAAACGTATGTTAAATTAAAGAAGTTATTTTTTATTGCTCGAAAGCAAACACAGAATATAAAAAAAATGTAAAAACAAAACTAAAAGAGCGAATGTGTGTTTTAAACGTTGCTGGTATCATAGTAGAGGTCGATGATGGAATCACTAGTCGTTTTTTGCGACTTGTCGGTACCAACACTCTTTTACAATTTCGAACGATCTTTGAACACTAAAAACCAAATTAGGTGATAAAAAAAAAGAAATTACGACAAACTTACGGTTTGACAACACACTTTAACAATTCGGAAGAAATAATTATGTTCCTTATATACCCGCCGTTTGTGAATTTTGGTTTTTGTTTCTAAAATCTTACTGTAAATACAAAATAAACGTATTTATTACTTAGTGATCTCAATAAAGTTTACTATAAGAGATTCCATTAATAAAAAACAATCACTTTGAGAAGTTAAAAATGAAACAATATACCTTAGCAATCAAATGTTTTTCACGTTTGAAACTTCACTAAAACACATTAAGTCACTTACAAGCTACTATTGTTCACAAAATAATTAATAATCACAATTATTGCATTGAAAAGTGTTGCCAGTTACCGCAGCAACAATTTTTCAAAAGCAAGTAAAACAATTTATCGATAAACGGCGCCGATAGATCAACTCCACCCGAAAACAGAATTGTGTTCCTAATAGCCCCGGTGTTCCTAATAGCCCCAATTTACGGTACCGAAAAGCCAATATAAATTGGTTTGTTCATTAAAATTTCTGTTTTTCTAAGTTCAATCGCTACTAAATTTTCATTAAATATTGACTAATACCTCCTCGCACACCACGTTTAAAAAACATTAGCTTATCAATGTCTGTAAGCAGTTCTAACTTCACATTAGTAAACTTTAACATCGCGTCCCACGTCAATCCTGGTGTTGTATAATAGTAAGCAGGATCAAGTCTATAACCGAGTAGGCATTGATCTCTGAAATTTTCAAAGATATCCGTTAATAACAAGACATCAGTTTTCATGTATAAATCTACATATTTTCCGAGATTAGAACAATTAAATGTAGACCATACACGTTGAGCATGTAAATAATCATCATCAGAAATCCCACTATCATTTAATGTACTATGAAAATTTTCTTTATCTGGTAATCTTGTTTCTTTCAACTTTACTCGATTATCCAAATATTTGTAAGGTAAAACTCCTTTACGCGTTAATAAATTTATTTCCTCTAAAGTAAAGTTAGAAAAAGCTTGTTTGACCGTTTTATATTCTGTAAGATAGGATGCTAATTTTTCCAAAGATGATGCCATAAATTTGAAGGAGTCGATAAATCGAAATTTAATTTCAGTTCCTTTTACATGCTTGCTAAAGGAAATAAATTTTCCTTTATTTAACGGTAATAGTTCAATTCTGCCTTCAAATTCTAAGCAAATATCTTCAATTATAAAATGAGCATCATACCCACTTAAGTTATGAAATACAATAGGTATTACTCGTGAATCTTGATAATTTAAATTACATGCTTCATGTGCAGGGCCTCGATATTTACCTGTTAAATGTGAATGATCTCGAACCTTCTTGTCAAGTAAAGAAATTTGCCCATCACAAATGTGACATGTTGTTGATACTGTAAATTCCTCAATTTCCTCTGCTGTCAATCTACCCATTGGTATTGGATTTTTCATAATTGCGTCAACGTTTTCTGCCATTTTCTGCAACTCCTGGGCAAACCACTTGGCAGGATTCACTTCTTCTGGACTCGAATTGTACCGAGAAAGTGATTCATCATAGCTGCATTTAACATTATATCCAATGCTCAACATTTCATGTCGTTGAATGATTTCCGTATTAGTAGTATTTTCTTTATCTGTAAAAGGTTTTAGAAGGCACTTACAATCTGATGGAGATTTCATTATTTTGTTTCTTAAATTTCGAAATATCCTTTAGTTTTACAGGAAAATCTATTTCATGAAAGTTTAATTTATTTTCAAATTGATAATAATTGTAGAGAAGTGTTGCATGACTATCTTGTTGGTGAAGAGCTGATAACATAGCCTACTTGAAACATTTTTTATCATAATTTCGAACGTTGATGCAAGCATTTTTTAATTTTATTTGACGTGGTAAATCAATGTATGAACCTACACGTATCGCATTGTACTTGTTTATATTAATTTCCAATTTCATTATAGAATGTAAAGTCCATTGAGATTCCTTTTCTGCAAACTCCTCCACTTTCTGCAATATTGGCTCCTTAATATTCTTGTTGTACCAATCATTTAAAACTGTTGTTGGAAAAATTTGTTCATTTTTTATGTTGAAATATTTCAATTCAATATTCTCTTCATTATTGGCAACTTTCCTGAATTTTGCAGCAAGAACAGCATAAACTTTTAGTGGTCCATGTCTCTTTATAATATCTGGGATATGTTCTTCGAAAAGTTTGCAAGCATCATCTAAAAATGCTTTCACATCTATGCGTACCAAGTTAATAATGAAACTTGTTTGAAGACAACATTTGAAAGCACTCTCACAATTGTTCCAACAAACACGATCTGTAATGTTATCAATTTCTTCCGCTGGAGATTCTGATTTTTTTGAATTTTCTCCCATTCCAAATCCTTGTTTCAAATAAAATTCAAACTTTGTATTTAGACAAATAAACTGTTGAATTAGGTTAAGACATTTTTGGCTTCCTGCTGAAGAATTAGGTCCATTTAATATTTCCCTTAAATTCGCGATATATTTTCCACAAGTTGTCATCCATCCTGCGATGTTTTAAGTCCAATCGATTTCCGTTTTCGTTGAGTTCACCAAATTAAAGGCATCTTCTGCAGCATGAAGAATAGTTTCAATTTCCAGAAGAAGTGATGAATTGGTTTTCCTCAACTTTTCTGCAACCTCAGGCTTTAAGTTTGTATTTCCCTGACCTTTACCAGCCATTCTACAATTAAAAAATTATTTTTTTAATATTCAGTTTTTCAAAATTTATTTTATAGTTTAAATATATTGTTTAAGATATAATTCAAACTATAAAGTCTTAACAAATTTTGATATAACATCCCACTCTGAAAATTGTCTTTAAAAGATGCTAAATTGAACGGTGCTGCCCATGGACTTAATAAATAAAGGGACGGAGCACATTCATGCGGGGTCTAAGTGAGTGTCCGTGCGGGGGAAAATGTGTTTTGCGCAATGACAGCGGGGACATCGGTGATTGGTCGACTACACGTACGTCCAATATAGCGCAATAGCAGTAGATTTTTGAATTATTGTTGACATGTCCATAATTGCAAAAATGATTCAAGAGAAATGTGTAATAAAAACATGTGAAAATTCTCGTTTGTTAGTGAAAAAAGTTGTAGGCTTGTCATATCATTGGTAAGTACATAA